ACTCGGAGGCTGAGGCAGGAGAATGGCGTGAACCTGGGAGGCGGAGCTTGCAGTGAGCCGAGATCGCGCCACTGCACTCCAGTCTGGGTGACACAGCGTGAGACTCCGTCTCAAAAAAAAAAATAAAATAAAATAAAATAAAATAATAATAATAATAATTTGTCTAAGCAATAGCTTGGCAACTTTGGGAGCCAAGTTGTAATCCTGGAAAGATTAATGCTTGGCCTGAGATATAAAAGCCACTCCTCCAGGTTGTCTTTTAATGTGGGAAGTAAGTTCTAGTGTGTTTCTGTAGTGTAGAACTTTTAGAAATAATATTCTTATCGCATTTGACAACACCCATGGCTGATATAGACAAAATACCATCCAGCTACTGTTTAGCCCTGACTTGCATATGACGCTTTGGGCTGGTCATGTGGTAACTTTTCACTCGGCAGTGGGGATGAAGTAACTGAAACTCCAGAAAGAAGAGTTACCAGATACCTCAAAAGTGATGAAGATATTAGAAGTCCTGGCCTTAGGGGTCCAAGAAAGAGCAAGGTTTGTGGGTAATAATCTGTATAACTCTGATAGGAAGCTATAAGGAGGACTCTTAGGACTTTGAGGTGGGTGAAGGTTAGAGCCTGGATTAATCAAGGGCCTATGGCTTCTAACACCATCAGTTGCCTGTACTCAACCACCTTCAGCAGTGCTATCTGGTTCTAGAGAGCCATAGCATTCCAAGAGAAGAGAGAAGGCTGCACAAAGCCCTGGTGTTTGTGTCCCCTCATCTAGACAGACATAGTAGCATGCAGGGACAAAGCAAAAGAGAAGAGCAGGCAGAGACAATGTGAATCTGTTCACCACATATTGTAAATGCATTTAAAAGTATTGTTAACTCATATTTGCAGGTAGCACTAATTATGAAGTTGTTGGACTGAGGACTTTATTTATTTGTGACACTCACCGTCTTCAAAGTCAGCAATGAAGAGTTTCTTCCTCATTGAATCACTAACATGTTTTGGATCTCTCTGACTTGCTAGACCGCTGACCTCTGACCTCTAGACCCAGACTTTAAAGGCACATGTGATTAGATAAGTCAACCTGTCTTATCTCCCTATTTTAAGATTAATTTAATTTTGTGTGCAAAATCCCTTTGACATACAATGTAACATAATTATGTAATTAGCAACCATGAGAAAGCTGAAGTGACTTTTAAACCAACCCAATTGTCCCATGGAACTGATGTTTACGGTTTCTTTTGAATAAACATAGAAATTGACCCTCTCAAGTCTTGAAATTTGAGAAAGTTACATTTGTATTATGTGAGTTCCTTTCTCAGGAAACCAACCATGAGCCTTCCAGATAGCAGCAAAGAACTGAAATTTACCAGAGTACCACATTTGCACAATAAGATGTCAGACCCCTCACCCCATCATAAATGCCTAAGTGGGCACCTGCTTCCTGTTGACCAATTCCTCTTTCTTACCTCTCCCTAATTCCTGTTTTTCTGTATGTAGTTACATTTCTTCCCTGCTATCTAAACCCCGACTTTTCATTGGTCAGGAAGATGGATTTGAGACTGATCTCCCATCTCCTAAGTTGCAGTACCTGATGAAAGCCTTCTGCCCTGGCAATACTAGTTGACTGAGTGATTGGCTTTCTGTGCAGTGAGCAGCAAGACTTAAACCTCTGGTGCTTCAGTAACAACTATCCTTATACCAGACAAAATAAACAAGAGACTTTAAGACAAAAAAGTTACCAAAGACAATGAGGGATATTTTGTAATGATACAAGGGTTAATCCATCAGGAAGAGAGTACAATTATAAATACACATGCATCTAACAGAGCCTCAAAACACAGGAAGCAAAAGCTGACTAAACAGAAGGGAGAAATAAACAATTTAACAACAGTAGATGGAGACTTTAATACCACAACTTTCAATAATGGATAGAGGAACTAGGCAGAAGATCAATAAAGAAATAAAAGATTTAAACAATATAACCTACCAGACATCTATAGAATACTCCATTCAACAAAACAGAATACACTTCCTCTCAAGTACACATGGGACGTTCTATAGAATAGAGCATATGCTAGCCCTTAAAATAAATCTTAATAAATTTAAAAGGACTAAAATAATATAGTTTCTGATATATCTCAAAACTAATACTATCACACACTATAGTTTCAGGTTAGCATGTAGGGTATGCAGTTTGTTGGTCCTGCTTCCTTCTGTTTGTCATGAATGTGGAGGTGACCATAGTTACACATGTGTAGGCCAGTAGCCCAGGAAAGTCAGGCAGCTGAAGGGAAAGGACAGATATTCCATAAGAGTCTCCCTATCTCAGTCTCACAAAACCAGGAGGAATTGATACATAGGAAGTGAAGAGGTACATCAAGGATCACTTCTCTTCTGTCTATCTATGCCTGTCTTTAAAACCTCAGTTTCTATCCCACTAAACCCCATTGCACAGGAATGCTGTTGATCACCACCAACCACCACAGACTCATGACCTTAATTTTTACCATGCTCTGTCTGAGGATATATCCTCAGGCCAATGACTTTGGCTCAATGCAAATCATTAGTGTTCCATAAAAACTGCTTCAAACATATTGTAACAGTTTATAAGTCATTCCAAATTAGGCGGCCACTACATGAGATATACATAAATTATTTCAGTGATTGTGACAAACTGGAAAAAAAAAACCTGTGGAGTTAGAATGAAAATCATAAGTGACAAGCACAAAATATGTATATAGAGATAATAACACAAAGCACCCCACACATAGAAGAGGAGAGTGGGGTTAGAAGTTATGAATATCAAACATCCTCAAGTTAAGTGAAAATCCAACATGGCCAGGTGTGGTGGCTTAAACCTGTAATTCCAATACTTTTGGAGGCCAAGGTGTGAGAATAACTTAGGCCCAGGAGTTTGAGACCAGCCTGGGCAACATAGTGAGACCCTGTCTACACACACACACACACACACACACACACACACAAAATAGCTGAGGGTGGTGACATGTGCCTGTAGTCCCAGCTATTCAGGAGGCTGAGGCAGGAGGATCCCTTGAGCCTGGGAGTTTGAGGCTGCAGTGAGCTGCGATCACGCCATCACACTCCAGGTTGAGCAGTAGAGCTAGACCCTGTCTATAAAAAACAAACACAAACGGGGGCCGGGCACGGTGGCTCACGCCTGTAATCCCAGCACTTTGGGAGGCCGAGGTGGGCAGATCACAAGTTCAGGAGATCGAGACCATCCTGGCTAACATGGTGAAACCCCGTCTCTACTAAAAATACAAAAAATTAACTGGACGTGGTGGCGGGCGCCTGTACTCCCAGCTACCTGGGAGGCTGAGGCAGGAGAACGGCGTGAACCCGGGAGGCGGAGCTTGCATTGAGCCGAGATCGTGCCCCTGCACTCCAGCCTGGGTGACAGAGCAGGACTCCATCTCAAAACAAACAAACAGACAAACAAACAGAAAAAAGAAACTAACATGCTTCCCCAGTGGGAGAAAAGATGACAGTATAAAATTGGTTTGCAGCAACAAGTATATAAAGACATTGACCAGAATCCTTTTATTACTTATTTTGTTTTTATTCTTTGATACAGGGTCTCACTTTGTAATCCAGAATGGAGTACAGTGGCGTGATCTTTGTTCACTGCAGCAGCAAACTCCTGGACCCAAGTGATCCTCCCACCTCAGTGTCCTGAATAGCTGGGACTACAGGCATGTGCCACTATGCCCTGGCTGATTTTTTTTTTTTTTTTTGAGACGGAGTCTTCGCTCTGTCGCCAGGATGGAGGTGCAGTGCCGGTCTCAGCTCACCTGCAAGACCCGCCCCGGGTTTACGCCCATTCTCCCCTTTCTCAGCCTCCCGAGTAGCTGGAACTACAGGTCCGCCCCCCACCTGTGCTGGCTAGTTTTTGATTTTTTAGTAGAGGCGGGGTTTCCCGTGTTTAGCCAGGATGGTCTCGATCTCCTGACCTCGTGATCCGCCCGTCTCGGCCTCCCAAAGTGCTGGGATTACATTAACGATTTTTTGTAGAGGCAGGGTTTTACTATGCTGCCCAGGTCGGTCTCAAACTCCTGAGCTCAAGTGATCCAACCACCTTGGTCTCCCAAAGTGGTGGGATTACAAGTGTGAACCACTGCACCTGGCCTCTAAATCCATATAAATCAATTATACACACTCTGAGCAGAATATTCAGTATTTTTTTTCTTATAATATAAATGATGTGGAAAACTGGAGAACCAAAGAAGGACGACAAGACTATCTAAAAGTGTTAAGTTTTTCATTAGGAAGAAAATGACTTCATGACAGTCCTTAAGACAATGATAGAACTTGAGGAAATATGTATTCCTTGATGTTGTCTATGCATTTGCAATAATAAACAATGAAAATATGGTTACATTTTAGAAAGAGATAGGCCTGTGGTATTGTCACAAGGGTATACAAGTACTGAGAATGACTGCTGAGGGAGTGGTCTCCATTGGTGGTGACCCTCAGAAGATACCTTGTGTTTCCATATGGCCTAGACATCTGGAAGGCAGAGATCTTAACATTCCATGACACCCCCACCTTCTAATTCTGTTATCATGACTCCAGACTGTTACCTGGCACTGGGTCTTACCTCTGGCATTCCTATCAGAGCCTGAACCACAGACAGTACCTTAGATTCTAAGCTCAGGCACCTTGTGCCTTGTTTTTGTGGCTGAAGATTCTCAGAGTTGTGGGATGCTGACAAAGTTTATCCCAAAAGTAAGTTGTGAATCAGATCTGCTTTCTTTTAACTCGTTTAAATCCTTTGTTTAATGTAAAGAAACTTTATTGGGGTGTAATTTACATACTATAAAATTTACCCATTATAATTGTACAGTTCAATAATTTTTAGTAATTTACCCAAGTAGTGCAACCATTACCATAGTCCATGCATTTGTTTTTAATGTATTATTTGTTTGGGTTTATTCTCCCTAGGCTCTGATTCCACTTCCTGAAGCCACAAGCTTCAGCATGGCCGTATCTCCTACCACTTGTTTTGGTCCAAACGCAGAAATAAGCGTCCTGGAAACCAATCAGTACTTGTGCTCTGAACTGGAAAAATGCAAACAGAACTTCCGAGACCTCACAGAGAAATTCCTGACATCCAAAGCTACTGCCTACTCCCTGGCCAATCACCTGCAGAAATACAGTAGGTCCCATAGGGGCAAGGTCACCAAAGTGATAAATGATTGTCCATTTTCCTCTGTGAAATGAAACACTGCAGACTTTATTCTCTATCAAAATTAATTTTATCCTAACTACCCTCCCAAAAAGGTAGAAGAGGGCATTTTACTCTCAATTTGCCAAGGACAGAAAAACTGAGGCACAAAGGTGTAAAGTTTGCAGGGCGAGTGTAGTGAGGAATAGAGACTAAAATCTTGGTTTAGGCATGAAACTGTCTTTCCCTTCTCAGCAATGAGTATCAGCTTCTACAAACATGTAACATCACTGTTGGTTAAAACAGCTCAGAATTCAATTTAAACTTTTTAAAGAACACCCATTTGCAAAGCACTGCGCCAGAGGTGAAAGAGGTAATGGTATATACCTTATCTGCCTTGAAGGAACTTAAAACTACCTATTCTCAACTGAGTCACAGATATGTGGAGATGCGAACTTCAATAGCAGACACGGAGAAAAGTCTTTATGATACCTGGATCAAGATTCTCTTCCCACAGAAGTTCAAATAAGTTCAAATAAGCCATTCCTCATGCTCTGGTTAGATTGAGGGTATTTCCAGAAAATCAGAGACTTTGTAACACCCTTTCTGTCTCTCTCTGAGTATCAGCTTTACAGACAGCAAACAACTGCAGGTGGACGTCCAGGATCAGAGCTATGAGACATATGGCCAAAATGAGAACAAGGCCAAGTGGAGCAGACCGCCGTTCTCAGTAGAAGGCCAGGCCAGGTTAGGGGCTGACCCTTTCCTCTCCACAGTCAGCTCTCACATTTGTAAATCCACTATAAAACCCCAAACCTGTTACTAATAGTCAGGGAAGGGGGAAACTGTAATGACAAGGAAACATGGGAACAAGGGCATGAGAGGAACAGGGATATTAGAAGAGGATTCTGGTTAACATTGAAATTAAGTTTGCTTTCCAATTTCCACAATTATTTTAAAATAAATCATTGTGTGGGGGGTCGCTAAAAGTTGCTGTCTAACTTACTGTCGTAGAAAAGTAAAGCCAAAAGCCCACTTATTAAAGAAGGGATAAGATGAGCTTTGGTGTGTGGAAAAACTAATTAAAAAAATAAACTTCATTCATTATAATTGTAGGAAAAAAATTTCTCAAGCTAGAGAAGAAGAAAAATATTACCTAAGACCTTAGTATAAAGGTATTATTGTGTGGTAATTAAAGAGCATATGCCCTAGGGCCAAATTTCCTGGGTTCAAATCTAACTTATTGTCACTGTGCCTCAGTTTCCTCATCTGTAATGGTAATAGAGTAGTAACTACCTCTTTGGATAGTGGTGATGATCACATGATGATAATTCTTAAAAATCTACTGCAACAGTACCATGACAAACACTACGTGTTGGTTCTCCCTTTAAAACACCACTTATTAGCATTTGGGCATATATCATTTGGATCATTCTCCTCCATATGCAGTTTTACACAGTTGTATACCGATAAATGTTTAAATCTTTGAAATATTTTGGGATTATTGAAACTCTTGAAACAGGAGAAATATCAGTCCTATAGTTCTTAGTATCCTCCCAAACACACAGGAAGTCATTATTTCATGCCCTCATGTTCATGTTTTACTTAAGAGGCTGTAAGGCTTGGTAAATTGGTCTTAAGATTTGAAGTCATGGCTGGGCGCATTGGCACACTTACTGTAATCCCAGCAATTTGGGAAGCCAAGGTGGGTGGATCATTTGAGGTCAGGAGTTTGAGACCAGCCTGGCCAGCATGGTGAAGCCCTGTCTCTACTGAAAATGCAAAAACTAGCTGGAAATGGTGGAACACACTTGTAATCTCAGCTCCCTGGGAGGCTGAGGCAGGAGAATAACCCGGGAATCAGAGGTTGCAGTGAGCCAAGATCGTGCCATTGCACTCCAGCCTGGACAACAAAGTGAGATTCCGTCTCAAAAGAAAAAAAAAGATTTGAAATCAAACCTCAGGGGATGTGAATTCTGACTGCCTCATTCCAGTTGAATCATCTTGTCAAGTTATTTTATCAGCCTGTAGGCTTTTCTTTCCTCATCTCTAAAATGGGGAGTAGTTGAGAGACTGAGGAATAAAGATATGGAAATCCCAGTGTAAAGCCTCGTACTGGGGACGCTTTTATCCTTGAGATAGACCCTGCCTCCTGTCCTGCAGGCAGTGACCACAGTAGCACGTCTGGCCTTCCGTGATGCAGGCATGTCTGTCTTTTCTCAGAGTGTGAAGAGTGCAAAGACCTTATAAAATCTGTGCTGGAGGAGGAGCTGCAGTTTCAGGAGAGGGAGCTGGCCGAATTGCCGAGGCCAGCTGCAAGGCTCCGGTAAGGAGGTACCTCTGTGGGAAGTGTATAAATACTGTTTGAAGTGGGGCAGCCCAGGCTGGTAGAACAAAGAGAAAATTTGTGCGTGGAGAAGGGCAGAAATGTATGAGGCAGGCACAGAACTAGACTAAGACACAATGAGGCTATGGTCCAGTTAGGTGTCTAGGGTTTTCCATTAAATAGCATATTAGTAAAAGGGAGACAGCTGCCTGCGTTGGAATACTAGCAATGTGGCTTCTATCTGTGTGTCCTTGGTCAAATTTACTTCACTTTTCTGCATGTCATCAACCTAGGCTACCTCATTTATAAAATGGAAATACTGACAGTATCTACCTTAGAGGGTTATGAAGATTAAATGCACAATTGCAAGTAGTTAGAACCATCTCTAACACGTAAAAAACTCTGAACAACTGTTTTCTGTTACTATTATATTTGTTCCCATTTATAGATGTGGTGATTGTCAGCATTTTCTATAAGAGATATTTTCAAACTTTCCAAAGTGCCTTTCATGATAAGAATGTTTCTCCTCCAGACTTTTTAAAAAACTGTTATACTAGGTGGAGTATTAACTGCTAGGGCTATGGGATAGATAGATGATTGAGCAGCTGTTGTTTAGAAAGAATTATTTGCTCAGGACCAGCATTGACTATCCTTAGAGGGTTTCAGACATAAGGTAGATTGTAGCATTTGAAACTTCTTTTAATGCTTTGTTGAAATGAAATCATAGAAGCTCAAATGTGTAAAACTCACCAAAGCACAGATAGTTGATTGAAGGGGGGACCAGTACATGTCTTTACTTCCCCTGACACTTTCTAGTAACTCTAAGGAATAGAGTTTGAAAGAGGACCTGCGGATAACTACTTAGAAGAATATCAGGGAGAAAACTCGAGCATGAGATGGGGTAGATGACTGTAAATGTTCAGTCCAGCTCTGGGACTACATGGCTCTAAACATTAACTGAATAACTACTTGTATGTGTACATACTACCGGGTGCTGTATGTTGGGTCATAGGTGGCACTGTCCTTAGACTCACAGAGCTCACACTCCACGTTGGAACCCACGTGTATTAGTCCATTCTCACACTGCTATAAACACGCAGCTGAGACTGGGTGATTTATAAAGAAAAGAGGTTTAATCGGCTCATGGTTCTGTGGGCTGTACAGGCTTCTGCTTCTGGGCAGGCCTCAGGAAACTTACAATCATTGCGGAAGTCGAAGTGGAAGCAGGTATGGTCTTCACATGGCCAGAACAGGAGAAAGAGAGAGAGCAAAGAGGGAGGTGCTACACTTTCAAAAACCATACCTCATGAGAACTCACTCACTATCACGAGAACAGCAAGGGGGAAATTCGCCCCCAAGATCCAGTCACCATCCAACAGGTCCCTCCCCCACCACTGGGGATTACAATCCAACATGAGATTTGGGTGGGGACAGAGAGCCAAACCATATCACCATGAGATATATTTATACAATAATTATAAAACAATGAAATCCCACACAGAGTAATGAAATTACTACTCAGAACTTTATTTTATTTTATTTTTGAGATGGAGTCTTACCCTGTTGTCCAGGCTAGAGTACAGTGGCATGATCTTGGCTCACTGCAACCTCCACCTCCCAGGTTCAAGCAATCCTCCTACGTCAGCCTCCCAAGGAGCTGAGAGTACAGGTGCACACGCCAGCTAATTTTTGCATTTTCAGTAGAGATGGGGTTTCGCCATATTGCCCAGGCTGGTCTCAAAACTGACCTCAGGTGATCCTCCCACGTTGGCCTCCCAAAGTGCTGGGATTACAGGCGTGAGCCACTGTGCCCAGCCAGAACTTTAGGTTTAACAGCCTACTTACTGATTATGGCCTATCTTCATGTCATGCAAAATAATACTGTCCTTCTTGACCTTTCCACTGATTTTTCTTTTTAATTTTCAATTAATACCAGAGATACTTGCCCAACACTTTTGAACCTGGCTTTTTTTCTTTTTTTTTTTGCCAAGTACTGTGCAATGCTTGATATATATCATATGAAAATGTACTTAGGCTAAAGTGGGGAATCAAAAGGGCATCTTTTTAAAGCAAAGTTAGTAAAATAACAGACAAACCAAAGGCTGTTTCTTCATTCCTTCTGCCAAAGGCAAGTCACACAACTTGTACAAGAATTCATCTTGGGCCAGGTGCGGTGGCTCATGCCTGTAATCCCAGCACTTTGGGAGGCCAAGGTGCATGGATCACTTGAGGTCAGGAGTTCGAGATGAGCTTGGCCAACATAACAAAACTCCATCTCTACAAAAAATATATAAATTATGCTGGCATGGTGGTGGGCACCTGTAGTCCCAGCTACTTGGAAGGTTGAGGCAAGAGAATTGCTTGAACCTGGGAGGCGGAGGCAGAGGTAGAGGTTGCAGTGAGCTGAGATCATGTCACAGCACTCCAGCCTGGGCAACAGAGTGAGACTCTGTCTCAAAAAAAAAAAAAAAAAAAAAAAAAAGAATTCAACTTGGGAGTTCTTTACAGGGATTCTAAGAGATCTCTCCTCTGAAACTTCTATAACCTATTATTCACTACATTCCCTCTTACATTTTACTCTTCTTTCCCACCTTAGGATACATGATCCCTTAATTCAGGCTCAGGCTGAAGAACTGACCCACTTACAACAGAAGATACAGGAAGGGAGAGGTGTCTGCTACCTTTTCACCCAGCATGTGAAGAACACAGTTAAGTCTTTTGAGGGCCTTCTCAGGAACACTGGCATTGCCTACTACCAGAGACAGAGATTCTATGAGCAAACGCTACAAGGAAGCCAGCTGACAGAGATCCTTGTCAGAAAACTGGCCACAGGTAAGTTGGCTACAGGCTCTGAAGACCCTTAGCTCCCCCCAAGTGCTCCAAAGAGGGGAGAAAAAATGCAAAGTTATCTTTATTGTAGATTTTATTTTAGTTTTGACTGTGGTCCTTAATCTGCATTCTATTGTTTTCTCTTTAGAGCACTCAGGTAATTGCGTTTCATATTCTTTCAACAGTTCTGAGTTTTTTTTTAAATTTTGAGACAGAGTCTTGCTCTCTTACCCAAGCTGGAGTTCAGTGACACGATCTTGGCTGACTGCAATCTGTGCCTCCTGGGCTCAAGCTCCCACCTCAGCCCCCCAAGCAGCTGGGACTACAGGTGTGTGCCACCACGCCTGGCTAATTTTTGTAATTTTTGTAGAGGCAGTGTTTTACCATGTTGCCTAGGCTGGTCTTGAACTACTGAGCTAAAGTGATCCACCTGCTTTGGCCTCCCAAAGTGCTGGGATTACAGGTGTGAGCCACTGTGCCTGGCCTGAGAGTTCTCAGTTTCAATCAGTAAGAGGGATAGAGTATAGTGGATTACTTCATCTTAATGAGCATAAGAACTCACCTTCATTTCTGGAAGATATTTTCACTGGATATAGGATTCTAGTTGACAGTTTTTGTTTTTAAAAAGTGTTTGAAAAGTGATATTCCACTGTCTTCTGGCTTACATTGTTAACAACAAGAAGTCTACCGTAATTCTTATTTTTGTTCCTCTGTACATAATATGTCTTTTTTCACTGGCTGCTTTTGAGATTTTCTATTTATCACTAGTTTTAAGCAGTTTGGTTATGATAAGACCTTGTATAGTTTTATGTTTTACATATTGTTTTACTTTAGTTTCTTGCATCTGCATGTTTATAGTTCTGATCAAATTTGAATAATGACATATATGTCTTGTATATGGCATATACGTTACATATGGCATATATATCAAATATGTATAATATACATTCTATTCTTTCTCTCTATCCTCTTCTTCAAAGACTCCAGTTATATTTGTATTAGCTGCTTTGAATTTTTACCACAGCTGACTAAGGGTCTGTTCATTTTTGTTGTATCTTTTTTTTCTCTCTGTTTCTATTTCCATGTCTTGGAATTGATTAATCTTTCTTTAGCATCATCTAATCTGCTGTAAATCCTATCCAGTGTATTTTCATCTCAGACTTTATTTTTCATCTAAATTTAATGTATGTCTTTTTTTAAGGTCTTCTATGTAACTCCTCATCATTTCATATTTTCCTCTATCTATTTTATTTTATTCTATTTTTTGAGACAGAGTCTTGCTCTGTTGCCCAGGCTGAAGTGCAGTGGTGAGATATTGGCTCAAGTGATTCCTGTGTCTCAGCCTCCTGAGTAGCTTTGATTACAGGCATGTGCCTCCATGCCCAGCTAATTTTCATATTTTTCTTTTTTTTTTTTTTTT